AAGGCTCGGTGCGTGGACCATTGTTATTTCTGGTCTTTATCAATGATCTAGTTCCGCGTCTGTTGAACCCGACGTTCATCTTTGCAGACGAGGTTATACTACTTGGGTCGCATCAGGGTGTAGACCTCCAGCTTGACCTAGATGTAGTGCAAGCATGGTCTGCAGAGTGGGGTCTCCCTTTAAATGTAGCATATTGTAAGATCCTACGAGCCGGGAGTACCCAGGGTTTTGGGCCACGCTACATGGGAGCTTGCGACGGGGATGCTATGGCAGCTGTGCCAGAGATCAGGGACCTAGGGGTCACTCTGAACTCCGCTTTTAACTCCTCTACCCAGGGTCTTGTTGCGGCACGTACGGCCAATAGAGCTTTGTTCAGGTTGAAGCGCACAGTGACGTCTAGGGATCCTATCATGCTAGTCCCGCTCTACCTGGCCTTCGTTCGGCCGCATCTGGAGTACTGCGTACAAGCTTGGTCTCATACTCTGAAGTAAGACCAAAGGGTTCTGGAAAGGATGCAGAAGAGGTTCACGCGCATGTTCCGCACCTTCGCGGAGCGACATATGCCGATCGCCTCCAGGGGCTGAACCTGTTCTCACGCAGTCGGAGAAGGCTGAGGAGGAACCTCATCGAAACAGACGTGTACTGTCACTCAGAGGAACCATCAGAAGTGCGTTTTCCTTTTCCAAAACCTCACCCACCCACGTCTACATGAACGAAATAATACAACTGTCGCAGCGCCGTGGTGCTGCCAAGCTCATTGGTGCAAGAAACTGGACGGCTTCTGGCTCCGCCGCAAGTCCTGTGATCTGCCTGTTCTGTCTCGTCTTGAAATTTTGAAGAAAATCGATTCTCAATATAGCGACTGGAACTTTCGCAACGGAGAAAACCCATGAGAAGTTACGCTGTAGGTTGAGATCTAGGGTAAGTAACTTCTGACCGTAGGTTTCTATCGGTGTCCCGTTTTCTGCTTTCAAATGGTTCCTGGCCGGTTTTGCGTAACTGTCGATGGTGGGAAGATCGCTGACTTCGGCTCCAGTGTCTACCAGGAAGTCTCTACGAGAATTCCTGTCCCCAATGAAGAACAAACAATCTGTTTGGGATGCACCGGACGTGGTGGTCGTCGTGACACGTTGACCTATTAGTTTTCCGACGACCGGTGGTTGCGATGGTTGCAACGCCTGGCGTTGTCACCGAATTCACGGTGGTACCAACAGACGCCGTCCGCGTCTAAGGCGGGACTATTCGTTCAACTGCGCGACGGTGATCTTCAGCCGCGTGAAGTTGAGTGGCTCGTACTGTGACCCCTCATGACGATGTCCCGGAGTTCTGTCATCTGTCGTTGTAATTCGTCCAGGGTAATCGGCTGTCGGCTAACGCGTTCTCTCAGTGATAGTTGTACAATCATAGAGTGCAAAGTTTCGATTTCTTTATCCCTATCAGTAGAGGCAGGGGAAGGTGGAACCACTGACGTAACGGTGTGTAGCTGCTGCCTCTCCAGTACAGCATCAGCCGCAGCCTCTAATTGGCCTCAGTCCTTTTGGGAATAGCGACGATTATGTCCTGTACGGCGTTCGGTATCCGCTGCAAACTGCAACTCATGCAGAAGTGAGTCGTGCATGAAAAATGACCCGGCTATTTGACGCATTTCCCGTAGAAGCATTGAAGGCTTTTTGTTGCCGAGCGTCAGCGTGTGACAAAGTTGGGTTAGCCTTATTTGTTCGGAATGGCCAGTCTCCGCTAGGATTTGTTCTTTCGAGAGCCTATACCTGTTTTCGCTAGGGTCCATGACGATAATGTCCTCCGAGGCCCCAACTTGCGCGGGGCTCAACCTCGTGATCAGTTGTCCATACATTTGGTCATCGGACACTATCTCCTTATTGCGCAGCGCTTGCTCGAGGACTGTGAACCATACCGACGGCTCAGTTACGGCTAGGTCGAGAAAAGGCAAAACCATTGCCCATATGACAGGTTTATACTCGTCAAACATTATGAAATGTTGTGTATATAACAAAAACCAAGAACCAATTACAATTGTTAGTATGCTACAATAACGATCACAGAAACGATAAACCATAAAAAGATATATAAAAAATATTGCGGTCCGTAAAAGAAACGGACGGACTCACCACTTTAGATAGCAAACACCATCTACTAACTAAACGCAAGTTACCTCATTGATCTTGAGTACGGTAAAGAGCAATACGATTATTGCTCCGAATGAGTGAGAAGTCAGACAGCTCATGACCAACGGTTTATAGGACGAGACCTGCAGTGAATGGTTTACACGTGTAGCGATTCAGCGTGACTCACCGGGACAAGTGTCGATTCCGCGGTTGAGCGTAAACAGGTAAAGTGCACCTGGTAAAACAAAAGCTCGTTGAGAGTAGAAAAGAAGTTGTATACAAAAGGTGAAAGTGGCGTGTCACTTCACCGCACGGAGAAATGGAGTACAAATTCTTAGGGATTATTACGCCACAGAGATCGGGGCTGCATGAAGAAATCCCCAGTGAGATTGTACAACTCTGAAACCTGGTGCTACTGTGACTGACCCGCGGGGTTTGAATAATGGAATTGGTTTGTCATTTTTGATTATCTTTATTCATTCTCATGTTTTAATTCCATCCTTTCAGATTATTGTGTCATATTTTGTGCCTATTTTTATTCATCTCTCTCGGTGTCCTTGCATATCGCTCGTCGGTTTATCTCGTCGAGGAACTCGGGTTGTTCCGGTTTAACATGTCTGTCGCTAGATTTGTCCCCTGCTTTAAGTATATTTACCTACCGTTTTCTGTATATGTCTTGATGATTTATATCGTTATTGTACCTGTATTACTAATCGTATCGCTCATGAAAGTTTTCACTATTATTTATTCCATCTTTTTTCAATTTGCGTATAACTCAAGGTTTCAGACGTTTCCGCATACAAAATCATGTAGGTTATTTATTATAAGTTATGGGTACTGGAGGAGATAAGACGAAGGCCAGCAAAGTGCCAAAAACCATCTCATCAAATAGATTCCCATGTGGCAACCCTAAGTGTGCTAAGCCTGTCGTGCGCAACGGTGACGCGTGCAATTCCCAGTACCACGTGATCTGAAGCTAACCTGACAGAAGAGAATACAACCCACAAGAGAAGCATGATTTTTTGTAGTAGTACTGCTTAGCCTGTAGGCAGCTACTGACGGAACTAGCGAAAAATAGGACCAAGAAGTAGAAGACATAATTGAAGTCAGTACTCAAATCGAGATGGTCGAGGGTGGTAAGAAGATCTTCAGCAGAAGGACGGACACCGGCTTGGGGATAATAACTCATCGTTTGATCAGCAACCCAAGTGCGGCATCAAGATAAGCCAAGATCAAACCAGCACATAGAAACGATGTGCAAAATGCAACGGTGCAACCTACTTCAGAGTGGAAAACCATACATAACAAGGCACTACCACACCCGGGCTCATACAGACTGCCCCTGGCACCCAAATGGTCATAAGATTTGACTAATCGGAATCCAGCTGATCATCATTGACCGAGAGGGACATTCACAATAGTACAAGTTTCCACCAATTGTGTGTCGACATGTCGCTCACTGAGCTAAAACCACTGAGCCTCAGGCGACAAGCAAGGAGCCGGGACCGCTAAACGCTGGGCACCCAAGGCTTCTTAAGGTGTCTATTTTGGTCCGAGGATGACACAAGTGGACTTCCAACATCAGTGAAGATTTTAAGTGTATCCTCTGAAGTTCGAATAAGAGCCAATCTTCCCAGGTTCGTCCGAAAGGACCCAACACCGACACATTTGATGCAAACACCCCAGCCCAGACTTCTTAGAGTCACATTCCTCACCGAATCCATTGCTCAAGAAGCCCTTGCGAAATACCATTCTCTGTTAAACCGGTTCCCCTCAGACCTGCATCTCCATCGGTGCAGACCAAGGAGCGTCTGACCAATGTGTCAGGTAGCACGGTCGATCGCAGCGCTCCCATTACCAGGTAAAAGCTCAACATTGGCAGCTCAAACAGAGCTGGTAGTCTAAATCAAGTGGGTACACATTACGCACATAGCTTCCATCCGGGAACCCCTGCATAGTCATGCATGTCAACACAAACTCCGGGAACGACTTCTCCGACTTGTCTACAGACAGTCCACTCCCAATGCCCAACACCATGATAATCGTGTCATGGAGCTGTATGTACACCAACAGTCACACTCTGGTAAACAAGCTCTGTGAGCTTCGTCTCCAAGTCAACCAACACTTGTCAATATTCATCGGTATAAGGGAGACCTGGGCTCACTCTGGGATATCGGGTGCCGAACTGGAAATTCTGGAGGTAGACATCAGACAGAATAGGTGAAGGGTTTGTCCTTTACATCAGCATGAAG